ATAGACCATTTTACATACATACATACATACTTTTATGGTAAGCACTTTGTGAAGAACTTCAGTTTATAGTATTCTCATAGGTGGTATTGCAAACTCTCTACTGGTAATTTAATTCATTTATCAAGCCATTCAATATTATATATTAGAGGTCTTCCATGCACAAACCACTATACAGCCTTTATTATTCCATATCATAGATATATTTTTTTTGTTAAAATCTGGCTTTTCTGTGAAAACTTAAGCCCCATCATCGCCACCATGCATAGCTATGGTTTCTTACCATAACCAGGTAAGAAAGGGACAGTGATAAGTGTAATAGGGTAGATGGTTACAGAAGTGACATCCCCGGTGAATCACTTCTCCCGGCACACACTACCACAGTCATCGCCAACAGGCAGCCTGGATTTGGTCATGTGATTTACTCTGGACAATGTGATGTCAATCAGAAGCTCAATAAATATCCATATATGACAACTTGATCTTTAAGAAAATCTGTCTTGAGATCACCATGAAGGCCAGACCGAGAGACCACATAGAAATAGCCAGGCAAAGGCCTCAAGCAAAGTCTCCAACTGACCCTTCATTTAGCACACACTCATCTGTTCAAGACCCACAGAGATCAGCCAAATGTTGAGTTTCTACGGACTTGTTACAAATAAGTCACAGCCACTTCTAGCCAGTATTCTTTGGGATGATGTGGTTCTTAACAGGAGATTCCTAGATGGTGGCTGTGGTGGCTCTAGTGGCTGGTTCCCTTAAAACTGGAAGCAGGAAATCCAGGCTTCAGGCCTGAACGCTGGTCTCCAGACACATGTTTGACTGACATGCTTAACTAATGACCGTATGATTTAATCAGATTTCATACCAACACTGAAACGGGAGACCCTCGGGGAGAGATTAAACTACCCTGATTCTAAAGAAAGCTCTCCTGTCTCCTTTGGCTTTCTGGACACATCCCAGGGCAACCATACTAAATCTACAAAAATCATCCCAGCCACTCATCTCTAAGCCGTTAAATCAGAAATGTGTGAAAGGAGAAGGGACCACAGAGAACAGACAATAAGCAGGTGGGAAACTGGCTTTATTTTCTTTGCCAACACAACCAACTGATGATGACATCCTGGCCTGCAGGGTTGAGCCGAATGACAAACGGCAGGGAAGGCGCTGCTATCGATTAGCTATGCCTTCCCTGGTCACAGGAGGCAGGTTCCCAGTAACTCACGCACACTTGCCAGCCTAGATTTAATTCGACAATCCCTTGTGGAGAGGAGGAAAGAAAAATTGAGACTGATGGACAATAGACTTCTCCAAAATTGAGCTGCTGTAGATATCAGGGCTTTTAACTCTAGATCTAATGGTCAGTTTTTGTCGTTTACTTCCCTAATTCCTTATAGAGAGGAAGTGCTATGCACAGTGGGCATCAGGGGAAATGGTTTGATTTGACAAGTCAATCTTCAAAGTATTAAAATCTCTATTTTAATAGTGATATAAAGCTTTTATCCATTAGAGTAACAATGCCAGCGGATGCATTCAACAGTTCTTCCAAAGCGTGGCAGGATCCTAAGTAGAACCTACATAATTATTTAATCTTCCAGGCATTGTGATTTTGAGAAGCTAAAATTTAGGAATTTAGATAAATTTACTAAGACAAAGCAAAGTTAAAAGGCATTAGAAACAGGTTGGATGCAGACGAGACTCAGAACCCATGCCCTAAGTATTCCTCCAAACTATTTTCTAATCTGAGCTTCAAAGCAGAAGTTTCCTCTGTGCTGCTGTGGGAATTCATTCTGCCAATAGCCCTGGGGTACCAGCCTTGGGGCATGGCTTCTTGTCTGCAGATGTGGTCTCTTAAAAGGACACAGACAGAAGCTATATACTCTCTTGGGTTGTGAAGAATGGATCAGGCGGCATGAAGCAGGGTGTGGTTGGTTCTCAGCTCCTTTGGACCCAGTTCTGTGACTTTGTTTGCCCCATAGCCCCCTTTTAACAAATTATATTTATTAATGTGACTCTCACTATACTGTACAGTTGACATGAACACTACCGGAATGTATTCAAATATGACCATGGAGGCCACCGTGAGGGCAATCCCCTTGTATAAATCTCTTTGCTTCCCATGTTTACTGGATGTGACTTCTTACACACCCATGTCTTCCAGGTGGACAGCTTCTGTGATATTTGTCCACCCTGGGAGCCCACTCCTAACGCATGCATCCCCTTCTGACCTTCTCCAGGGTCTACAGGCTAGGCCACAGAGTAATTCTCGGTCCACATCTCCACCATCTCTTCCCACTCTTTCAAGCAGAGGTCAGTGGTGTTACTTTGAAGTCACTGTGGCCAGTATCACTGCCCTCTATGGGAAGTGTGGGTGTATATGGGGGAGGTCATGAAGTAAAACTAAGCAGTTTTCCGAGAAAAAGCAGATGATGATTTCAGAACCAACCCAGTCGTTTCCACAGCCCACTGCCCTGGCCCAGATCTTCAGCAGTGAGGAACATCTACATGACACACACAACACAACATGACATGACAAGCCAGGGCAGGTCAGAGGTCATTCCCAGACACTGCTTCTCTATCAGCTTCTAGGTCCTTCCCTTTAGGCTCTGCCCAGTTGAGATGCTAAGAAGCATGCAAGGGCCCCCTGGAAAGGCAATCCCTTAAGGGGCCCTCCCCTTGTTGCTGCAGCCTCTGCTGCTCCAGGGCCTGTCCCATCTCACTGCTGAGCTCTTCACCAGCTCCGACTCCCACTGCCTCCTCCGAATGAGAGAGGACCTGCTTCCATCTGGACAGAACTTGCTAAGGACCCTTAGTGAGTCACCCAACTTTCCTCAGCCTCGGGTCTTTATTCAGTAAACAAAATGCCCATTTCCATGGTAGTTTTAATGACTCAACGAGGCCATAATTTTTTTAACAAGTCAAATAAATAGAGAATCCCAAGACATGTTAGCCCCCTGCATTTCTTGTTCTACAGCCATAATCTCCTTTGTCTATGGGGTTTGCATAGGTCTCAGGCAGCAAGGGCCATCTAGGGCCAAGCATCCTGCTAAGGCCATAGAAGCTCAGGACACCAGTCCTCACCTTTTCCCCCATTAGCCGGTGGCTCCAACAACACTTCACTGCTGCCAGAGCCATGATGCCCTGCTGGGTCCCGCCAACCTGTAATGTTCAAAAGTAATTCCTCAGCTACTTCCCCTTGGCTAGCCTCGCCCTGGTTGGCACTTAGTGCCATGCACTCAGACAGCAAGAATCCTGCTATTGAAGTCTTCATTCCACGTGCTCTCCTCTCCCCCAAAATGTAAGCATGCAAACACAGCCATGCCACAAATCTAAAGTATTAGGAGATGGTATTTTGTGTGACATGATAGAAAACTTTTGTCATTATCCCTTTTCAATGACATCATTTTTTAATCCACCCTAGCTGAGAAAGATGCGTCTGAGCACTAAGTAATAAAAACTTGGAGCTAACAGGTGACAATGAGCACAGACCCCGGCTCAGTTGCTTTACTACTTTACATATACGGTTTTTTGAGACAGGGTTTCTCTGTAGCTTTGGAGCCTGTCCTGGAACTAGCTCTTGTAGACCAGGCTGGCCTCAGACTCCCAGAGATCTGCCTGCCTCTGCCTCCCGAGTGCTGGGATTAAAGGCGTGCGCCACCACTCCCTGGTGGAAATAGTATCTTTAAATTCTCATAACTTCAAGTTAAGCACTGTTACCTATGACGAGGGTAGAGTGGAAGACGCCCTAAGCAGCTAATGAACTCACCCACAGTTGCACAACTACAAATGTTAACATGGGATTGCATCTACAGATCCCAAAAATCAAGCCTCGCCAGGCGATGGTGGCGCACGCCTTTAATCCCAGCACTCGGGAGGCAGAGGCAGGCAGATCTCTGGGAGTTTGAGACCAGCCTGGTCTACAGAGCTAGTTCCAGGACAGGCTCCAAAGCTACAGAGAAACCCTGTCTCGAAAAAAACAAACAAACAAACAAACCAAAAAAAATCAAGCCTAACCGCCAGGTTACAGCACATTGTCCTTCTCGTGTTTTTATCCTAGGGAAGAATCTGTCTTTCCAACAAATGTATATTGATCAGACCCTGCATGCTGGGCACTGCCTGCACACAGCTGCAATACTGAACGAGCTCTGTATCTGGGAATTTATTTCTTATTTGCATTTACAGACATTTTAAAGCAAGCCTGTCTATGATATAAATTGTGCAGTGATAAATGCAATGGCAATACAGGGGTAGGTGCTCTGTAGAAATAAAAGAGGTGATTGTTTAACTCAGTTCTGTACCTTGAGCTGGAATGTGGACCGTTCTCCCCACGCAAGGGGTCAATAGGAGAGAATATGAAAGTTAAGTGACTTCCCAACACCCCACAGCAGGTAAGAGATAAAGTACAGACTTCAACTAAATCTACGGATTTTTTTTTTAGTATGCCATACTTAGTCTAGTAATGCTTCAACCCAAAATAGACATCTAGTAACACTGCCTTTTAACCACAGATAATCCCTGTGTGCTCATTTTTTCTTGTTGGTCCCAGTATAAATGATATCATCTAAAACAAAGAAAAGCTGAAAGAAAAAAAGATATCTGAAAAAATAGAAAAACCCTCTGAACTCATGAATTAGAAAATCTCGTGTCTCCACACACTGAATCACTTAAAGCCCTGACAGAAACCGTATTTGACAAGGATCCAAACTCTGGACTAAGCTTCTCCTGAGCTGGGCATTTGGGTAACTAAAATTCCAATTATTGTCCGAAGTGGAGTCCTTCTCTTACCCCACGTTTAAGTCCAGTGATTGACAGCAGCAAGTTCTGATATGTGTTTCATTGTCGGAGTCATGGATTTGGCTTTTACAATTAGAAATATCTCAGATCCAACCCTTCAATTACTAAGGGAAAATAGGAGCCAAAAAAATCACTACTAACCACATTGACATACTCTCCAACCCTGCTTTCCCATTTGTTTGGGTAATAAACAAATGAAATTTTGGTTACAAATTGATTTCTCACTCCTGTGCCATGAGACTGGGTTTTGTAACAGGCTGGAACTGCTGTTCTGTGGCTCTGAATTGACAATTATTAATTCAGCTTAAATTCTCCAAGGACTTTTTGAAGAGCATTACCCAATGGGGGAAAATCAACCCGGTCCATGTAACTGATTAAATGTCTTTGTGTTTATTTTCTTCTCATGTCTATTTTTTTAATATTGGTAGGAGAACAGATAACTGAAAATCTCATGTCTCAACACACTGTATCATTTAAAGCCCTAACAGAAATTTTACTTGACACGGATTCAAATTCTGGACTAAGCTTCTCCTGAGCTGGGCAATTTGGGTCATGAAAACTCCAATAACAATAACAGAATTCACTGACTTTGCCAAAGTGTGGGTGATGACTGGGATAACTCTACCCTAGAAATTCTGATCCATTCGAGGGGCTGAAAGAGGGCTCAGAGGTTAAAGTACCTGGTGTGCAAGCAGAAGGGTCTGAGGTTCCCCAGAACCCACTAGTCAAACTAGTCAAACTAGTTAAGGGTATGTACTGGCTCTGGAGGTGAAGGCAGAGTCAGGCAGACCTTGGGGCTCACTGGTCAGCTGCACTACTGAACCAGGGACTTCTGTGGGGCGGGGGGTGCTGCTGGGAACTTAATGTGGAGAGCAATAGAAGACACCCAACATCAATCTGGTCTCCGCATGCTCACACACAAGGAAGGAAGACAGTGCAGAGATGGGCAAACACACAGGCAGACAGACAGGCTGGCAGGCAGACAGACAGGCAGGCAGGCAGACAGATGATAGAGGCAGAGATGTAGAGACCTTGCATGCTGTTTCATATCGCTGGGGACTTGTCAATGGCTCATGTTTTATCTTGACATCCATGGCTCTGGTTCACCATCAAAATCCCTGTGTCTCTTCTTGTGGGTCCCTCCTCATATCTCACAATAGAGGTACCTTCCTAACCAAGAGCCTGACTCTGAAAGTATTTCACTTTGCCATCATGTGTAACTGAGCTGCTTACATCCAATGCCACATCAGTGACTCACTTCATAACTATTCTCCTAAAAATGTTCTGATTATAAAAATTGTACATATTGATTATAGAAAGTGTTTGTCTAGAAAGAAAACTCACCTGGAGTCTCACTTCCAACATGTACTTACTAGTTCACAGTTTAGCACATTCTCTGTAGAGTTTCTTATTCTTCTGTATATTTCCCCAGATAGGAGGTCATCATGGTATGTGGTCTCGTGTTCTCATCTTGATACTTCATACCATATGTGGAGCATCCTCTCACAAGAAAGATTAGTAATAGTAATATCTACATAGTAATCTATGTTGTATGCTAGCTCAGATAACATCTATTGTTTGTTGCTTAAAAATTTACACATAACCAAGTTAACCCTGATTTACTCAGTATGTCTTCTCTGACAAAAATGTGTATACGTGTGTTGAAAAGATATACAAATAGCAAATAGAAGGCAGCCTAGGAAGTAACCACATGATTTTTCAGGTGGAGCCATGATTTGTTTAGTGATAGAGATACATCTGGAGAGTTCAGCATTAGGCCATCTGATCTCCCTGCAAGCATAATAATCTTAGATGACGTCAGTCAAGCACTCAGCATGGCCACTTGATGCAGTTAAGGGATATGAAAAGGGTTGGGGGTGATGGCTCATTTGATAATGTGTTGGCCTTGCAGTTGAGAGAGCCTGACTTCAATCATCAGAACCCAGTCCAGTGTCCTGTGCCCCAGCACTGGGGAGGTAGAAACAGAAGGACTCCTGAGGTCCATTGACCTGCCAGTTTAGCTGAAACTAGTGATAGAAGCTGCCTCTAAATCAATAATAATAATAATAATAAATAGTAGATGCCACACTCAATACTGCCCCTGCTGTCTTGTGAAGCAACTGAAAATATTCAGAATCTAGAGCTGCCCCTGGCATCCTGAAGGACTCAGAAGGAAATAGACCGAGCTTAGCTGGCAGTGGTGGCGCACGCCTTTAATCCCAGCACTCAGGAGGCAGAGGCAGATGGATTTCTGTGAGTTTGAAGCCAGCCTGGTCTACAAAGGAAGAATAAACCTGGCTTAACATAAGATTTCACATATGACATTGTGTGGTGCACTGGAGGCAGACACTCAATAAAGCCGGTGGGCGGCTACACAAAGAGGAATCCGAGCCAGGAAATTCTGAGTCTCCAGGTTTCTCCCGCTGTGTGCCCACCCTGAACAGCGGCATGGCAGGTCAGTTTGGCATGGCTCTCCGCTATGTCATAACTAGTCACCAAATTCCCAAGAGGACCGTGATCAGCCAATGACTCTGCTATGTTGTTTCTTCTTCCAGAGGTCGCCTTAGTACCCAGAAGTCAGAAAGCCAACAAAGGACTTGGAGAGGATACAATGGCTGCCTCATTACAGAGTCCCTGACCCTGATCAGTCCCAGCATCTTCCTGAGAACCAATCACAAAACGGACAAATCAAAGAGGGGTTTGCACCCTTCTCAGCACTCTTCCCACTCCTTCCTGCTTCCTTCCATTTCTACCAGCCCTCGTGTGAATCTCAGACCCCACAGAGAGCTGTCCTCAAAGGCTCTCGTGTTCACCATAAACCTGAGACTTTGTCCAAAAGCAAAAGAAAATCACACACACATGCACGCATGCATGTGCACCTATGCACATGTGCACACACACACATACACACACACACATGCATGCAGACATATTCACTTACACACAGATGCATGTGCAAGCGCACGCACACACATATATTGGAGACTACGAGGAAATACCTGTGTTTTTTCTGGATTTTTTTTTTTTTTTTTAGTAGGAGGGGTTGCCTAACTAATGAATTTGTGGTCCTTCTCTTTGCTGTCAGGACACTTCCTCAGTGGTATCATTTCTGTGGTCTTTAAAGTTTCTTTTCCAGCCCCGCTCTCCATGCCCTCCTTCCATACTTTTGAATTCTCCTCTGACCTCTCCTGGAGTAAATAGTCCTAAGGGTCCCCAAGGCTGCACCCTACTGGCATGGTGAGAGGGTTTGGGGCCTCTGCCATGACCCAAGGACATACAGACAGACCTGATGGCTGAGGCTGGTTATCTACTCTGGAGAGGAGGCAGGAAGGGTTGGCCCCTTCTTGGGGACAGCTGTTTCAAACTTAGCAGGCAGCTGGCACCAGCCGCTTGTTTGAAGCCAGGGCAAAGAACAATGATTCCGGCGTCCTCCGCAGCCGTCACCAGATCCATCTCGCATCTCCTTCCGGCCCACACTGCTGCTATCACTGTGATTATGAAGGCAGCAGTTGTGCGGTAATTAGGGTCCTCCTGGGCCAGCCAATCTCAATAGAGCAGGATGCCAGCTGCTCCAGCGCCAGAAACATCTCAGTGGCACCCGGCCCTCCTCGGCACTCTCCCTCTCTCCACACTCTTGCCTGTCTTTCTCTGGTGTCACTCAAGACAGGTTAGACCATGAAGGCCACTTCCCTTCTGTTCCAGATCCAAGGTCATTTACTTTCCTGGCTCACTGGGCGCCATCCCAGCTCAAGACCTGGCAGAAAGGAATGAGTAACCAGTTACCCTCAGCAACCCCATGGTGGGAGGTGGGTCCTACGGATTATCTCAGCAAGCTGAGTTTTAATTCTCTCTTTATCAGTGCTAATGCTCACATGGTGCCAGTGATTCCTCTTGCCCAATAGGCCCTTTAAATGTCACCTTTCTCCCAACAGCCATGATCCTGGGGTCTTTTAAAACTATAAACTGTCAGCTCTAGGTCTAGACAAGATAACTCACTTGACCTCTTGATAATAGAACAGACATCTGTGGGAAGGAGCTCTCTGAGGGGCCCAGAATTTTCCCCCTCTTTCCTTCCCTTCCACTTTCTGGGAGCTTGAAAAAGAACAATAAGAAGGAGATGCCAAAAATGCTCTTCTACCTGTTTGTTGAAGGAGAACAAGAGAGCTCACCTAGCACAAAAGAAGGTGTCCCCCTTTGTTCTCTGGTCCCAGAAATCAGGAGAGAAGCACCCTTCTCCAGTCTCCCTGAGGGAAACCAGGAGGAAGGCACAGCTTGGGCAAACTGATGTGGGAGTGTCATATATCAATCTGTTGCTTTCATGGGTTAATTAATAAAGAAACTGCTTGGCCTGATAGGTTAGAACATAGGTAGGTTGAGTAGACAGAACAGAATGCTGGGAAGAAGCGGAAAGCAGATGCCATGCCGCTCCTCTCCAGGGCAGACGAGATGAAGCTCCAGCCCAAGATGGAAGTACGCTAGAATCTTCGGGTAAGCCACCACCTCATGGTGCTACACGGATTATTAGATATGGGTTAGCAAGATATGAGAGTTAGCCAGTAAGAGGCTAGAGCTAATGGGCCAAGCAGTGTTTAAATGAATACAATTTGTGTGTTGTTATTTCGGAGCATAAGCTAGCTAGGCGGCCGGGAGCCGGGTGGCAGAAAGCAGACCCGCAGCTCCCTTCAACGGAAAACTAATCCTAAGACTCCATCCCACCCCTAAGCTAGAACTTAGAAAATAGTCATTCTGACCACTTTCTGAGTCCTGGTCTGACATCCACATGCAAAGCCCAGGTTCCCTTACACCTAATACAGACATAGACAACCCTGATTTAAACCATGGTTCAACATTAGGATAGATTTTAAAAAGCTGTTGTTTTAAGCCTCATTCCCCTCCCTGTGACTCAAAATAAGGACATTGTGAGAAAGCAGTTCTAAACCCTGCTATTCTGGCTCCCTGGGGCAATCCCACCCAGTTCCGGGACTTTCCCCTCCAGAAAGAAAGGGAGACTTTTGATAGAAGTGAAACACAGTGGAAGGTGGAGTCAGAGAATTCTCAGTCGCCTCCCAGCCTCTTCCCAAGTGCCTAAGGCATCACTTTCATCCTGGGTAGATACAGCCAAGGAG